TAATCTTCACTGCTGCCTTCAGAAAATGAATGGTCAAAGGGTTAAAGACCCATCTTTTACTTGTCATGGCCGAGAGGACTGAAACTTAAATCTGCAACTAATTATAAGCCAGGCCGCTTTTAAACTGTTTTGCAAGAATTTAAGAACATTATCTACCAAGGGAGTTAAAGCATTCCAATTTGGAACACACCGTTTTGAACCAGGAGATCCAAACAAACTGGGAGTGGAATTGGTTGTTCTAGCCTTATCCTGTATACAAGGTGAAACCAAGGCTGGCTTGGCCAAAAGAGCAGGGCTATTATTGCCTCCACTTCACGTTGTATCTTCAAGAGAACCCTTAGAATTAGAGGGATTGGAGGAAAGATGTGCACTAGGCAAAACCTCCATGGCCTGGAAAGGACATCTTGGCCCAAGGTTTGCGGGTCCTGAATTAGGAAAAGTAGAGGGAAACTGGAAGTTTATTGCTGACACCATCAGATTCACGTCTGGTGTCACCCAGGCTTTTTCCGCAACAAATTTTGAATTGAGGCCCCATTCGCCGTGATCTAAAAAACTCTGAAAGGTGAAGGCTACAAGAAGATCAGCAAAGCTTTACTTATCAGTCAGAATACTGTAGCAAAAGTGATTAAAATATTTCACAAAGATGGAACTGCAACCATCCCACAGAGACATCCAGACCGTCCACAGAAGTTAACACCTCGACAGGAGCGTCTTCTGGTGAGATTTGAAGAAAGTTGCCATGGAAGTTCACTGCAGTTAACTAAAGAAGTAGAAAGCCAAACTGATCTGATTGTTTTCAATGACACAGTATGGTTTACACTGCAGAGGAATGGCATGCATGGGTGTCATCCATGAAGGAAGCCTCTCGTAAAGCCCATGCACAACAAGCCTGCCTAGAATTTGCCAGGGCCCATGCAGAAAAAGAAGAACACTACTGGGACTGTGTACTCTGGAATGATGAGACCAAGATAAATGTTTTTGGAACTGAGGGCTTCAAAACTGTATGGTGTCGCAAACGTGAGAAGTAAAAAAAAAAAATTAACGGTGCCAAGAGTGAAACATGGTGGTGGCAGTGTCCTGTGGAGCTTCATGAGTGCTGCTGGTGTCGGGGAGCTGCATTTCATTGATGGTATCATGAATTCACAGATGTACTGCTCTATATTGAAAATATGCTGCTATCACTCCGTGCCCTTGGCTGTCATGCACTTTTCCAACATGACAATGATCCAAAACACACATCTAAGGCCACTGTTGCATTTCTGACAAGAAAAAACAGGGTGCAAGTGATTCAGTGGCCAAGTATGTCTCCTGATCTGAACCCAATCGAACACCTATGGGGAATTCTGAAGAGACAAACTGAGCATCACTCTCCATCCAGCATCCAGGCTCTAAAAGAGGTCGTTCTTGAAGAACGGAAAAAGATCGAATTTGCAATATCTTCATTCCATGCCTAGAAGAGTTAGAGCTGTCCTTACAAATCATAGAGGTCAAAAACATACTAGATGTAGCATTTTTTGTTGTGGGGTGTATTCATTTTTTCATCAACTAATTTTTGTAAAACTGAAAATTTTGTCATCTAAATTATATTATTAACCTTATTTTCATGTATTGAGCTAAACAAATGTTCTATAAAGCTCAGCTTTATCAAAATTTTGGAAAGTGTTCTTGTGTTCATTGAGATATTGATTAAAATCTTTCTTTTCAAAAGGGGTGTACTCATTTTTTGCTGAGCACTGTGTATATATATATATATATATATATATATATATATATATTTATTTGTTTGGTTTTTTTTTTTTAATATGTTTGGGTGATGTGTATGGCAGCATAATACAGTATATGAATCCTTCACATACCAAATGTACCACTGGGGTATGGCAGAAACATTAAAACACTGTGTGCTTCTTGTAACGGAACCGGAACCCAGACCGCACTGAGTTTTTCCGTTATAGCACAGCTTCCTCTTTCCGAACACCATCCACGGACCACACCCTGAAATCCCTCAGGAAAAAAGACAGCACCCAGCTCTTACTAAAACAGGAAGCCAACAACTCTTTATTTTACACAAACAACATGTTTTATACAGAGGGTGGGGAAACACAACCAGGAACAGGAAATACATCATCAGCCCACCCTCTCAGTGGGAAGGGCTACAGTATAGGCAGGAAACACCTCATCACCCCTCCCCATCCAACCAGACACAGAACAATGGGATGCAACCATGTGGCAAAGGACATTGACCAACCCCCACACCAATACACAAACAGTACATCCCATAATAGTTGGCTGGATAGGAAGACACAGCACCATGGGGGGGAGCACATGGCAAACAAACAATGGACAGCCATGTGGCCCAGAACAAAGGAATGGACACATGGCAGTAGACAATGGGCAACCACATGGCAGGGACAAAGGAACACACACTATACACAATACTGGGACATTCACATTCACACCCTGTACCCCTTAACAGGCACAGGGTGGGTTAAACATAATGAGGGGGACATGAGCTGACCAAGCGGTCCCCCCCACCCCCAAAAGTCACTCCTGTCACACTTCTCTACTGGCAGTTTGTGCAAAACATGGCTGTATCCAGTTGATCAATCAGTTTAGATCAAGCAATGTGGGACCAGGTGGTGATCCGCTGTGTTGTGGCTCTGCATAAGGTATCATGTGTTGTGCTTGAGCAGAGGGCATGCTGTCCTGTAGCATGCGCATTTTGTGTAATGCACTGTGCCTCTTGTCCTGGGTATCTTTACAGCTATAACCAGTAGTGTTATCTCTTTTCCAGTGGCTGGGACGCACAGCCATGGCGTTCTTCTGGTTCTGCAAGTGGCAGCCACCATTAAACCGGAAGTGACGTCAACAACCAGCAATAACAGCCTGGAGCACACAGCCGCAACACACTTCTGTGTTGCAGATGGCTTGAGTTCTATGGCATTTCATACCTTTTGGACACAATTTCTTACCCTGAACTAGCAGCAGACGGCGCTAACAATAGTGGTGCTTGGCACCATTTTCACATGCGGGTCATCCCAGCCTGATCTTGCTCAGTGGTATTTATTAGTATGTCAATATGCACACATATACATGTATGTTTATTTATATATTTATGAGCTTCATTTTATGGTGTTATTCAAGTAATAAGAATCTTTAATTACATCTGATATGGATTTGCGATATGATAATGAATATTGACAATTTATTCTGTGTTTTGGAAACATATTTTTACATATTTATTTTTCGATGTATTTATCAATGTATTTATTTATGCATTCAATTGCATTTGTAAGTCACCCTTCCATAGATGGGAAAAGCTGACATAGGTTATCATGTGATCATTTTAGTCTCTATATATACATGAGTTGTGCGGTATCCAAAATTGACTCTGAGGAAGAGGGAATCCCCCCTCGAAACGTACCAGCCATTTGGCTGTTAGTGGCTAAATGGTTAGCACTTCTGCCTAGCAATACAAAGGTCGTTGGCTCGAATCTTAACCACGGCACCACCTGCCTGGAGTTTGCATGTTCTCCCTGTGCCTGTTTGGGTTTCCTCTGAATACTCTGGTTTCCTCCCACACTCCAAAGACATGCTGGTAGGTGAATTGGCTCTTGTCTAAATTGGCCCTTGTATGTGTATGTATGTATGAATGTAAGTTAGGGACCTTAGATTGTACTCTCCTTGAGGGTTAGGGACTGATGTGAATGTACAATATATATATATATATATATATGTATATATATAAATCGCTGCAAAAATGTATGGCGTTATGTAAATACCTGTAGCAAATAAATAAAAATTAATTTAGTCAGTCTTCCACAGTGGTGACTTGTCTTGGGGACCAGGTTGCTGCAGGTACACTGTTGATTGATGTGCATTGAATCTGATGTTGCTTGTGAGTATATGTCTGCTCTTTATATTATGTATATATTAAAATTGTTGCTGAGGTAATGCGCTAGGCTGGTGCTCACTCTGTTCTTTGTTTTTTACAAAATACCTTTATCTGTCTGTGCATCTCAAACACAACAGTTCCCAGCAGACAACAGATTAACTTAATAATGTTAGTCTCTTATCAGTCCCAGGGCACCTTCTGGGTCTCCGAACACAAGTTCTGATTCAGTAAAAGTCAAGTTCAAGTCAGACAGGGATAAAAGTTGTTGTAATTTCTTTCAATCCTGTTGAGACAATCCCTCTTTTCCTTTTACAAGAAGTGGGAGTGCTGTCTAATACAATCTGATTTCACCAGGCATTCAAATCACATCTTCAGGGATCCGTTCATACAGCAGCAACAACTCAGTCTCTTTCTCACACACTTGCTTTCTCCACACCCGTCTTCCCCCTCTCCTCACCAACCTTCAGACAAAGCTCCCCTCCCCTCTGATGCATCTGCCAATCTCCGTCCTCCAGTTGCTTTAGACCCAGTCAAGATGGCTCCCCCTGCACTTGAGACACTCCACAGGTGGACAAAGTGGAATCCTTAACCACTCGCCGACAGGGCACTTCTACCCCCTTGCTGCCCAGGCCAGTTTTCAGCTTTCAGCGCAGTCGCACTTTGAATGACAATTGCACAGCCATGCAACAATGTACCCATATGAAATTTTTATCATTTTTTTTGAGACAGATAGAACTTTCTTTTGGTGGTATTTAATTACCTCTGGGTTTTTATTTTTTGCTAAACAAACCAAAAACAACTGAAAATTAAAAAAAAAAGTTTTTTCTTAGTTTTTGTTATAAAATGTTGTAAATTAGTGATTTTTCTCCTTCACTGATGTGCGCTAATGAGGCTGCAGTAATCGGAACTGATAGTCTGCACAGATGGGCACTGATGGGCACCGATGAGGAGGCACTGGTAGGTGGCACTGATGGGCATTGATAGGCATCACTGATAGGCACTGAAAAGCAGTACTCATATATGGCGGCACTGATAGGTGGCACTGACTGGCAGTACTGACGGGCACTGATAGGTGGCAATGACTGGTACTGATAGGTGGCACTGACTGGCACTGATAGGTGACACTGAAAGGCAGCTCAGATGGGCACTGATATGTGGCATTGATGTGCACTGGTAGGCACTGATATGTGGCATTGACGTGACACTGATGGGCACTGGCAGGTGGCATTGATGAGCACTGACAGCTGGCATTGATGGACACTGACAGATGGCACTGCTGGGGCTACACTGATCATCAGGGCACACTGATCATCAGTGCCCTGATGATCAGTGTACATATCCCCTCTGAGGGATGCCGATTATCAACTCTCCACTCCTCATGAGCTCCTCATTTCTCTATTTACATGCGATCAGCTGTGATTGGACACAGCTGATCACATGACTGAGCCGACATCTTCAGCTCTTTCCGTTGATCGGTGATCCACTGTGTCCGAGCATGCGCGGTTAGCATGGGAGGATGTCATATGATGTCCTCCCAGAATGAGAGAGCCAGCTTTTGCCCATCATTACCTTATATGGCGTGTGGGAGGCAGTTAAATATGGCTGCTGCAGTTCTGCATTAATGCATATTCAATTTAACCATGTCCACACTACAGAAGGATAATACAGCAGCAACAAATAAAGAAGTTCCACAGCAGTTATGAGCTACAGTTCAGGATATATATATAATATTTATTCATTTGTAATAAGGTGAAGATAAGTTTTGTTTGAATATCTTCAACAGGTATTATTATTATTATTATACAGTATTTATGTAGCGCTAAAAGGTTTGCTCAGCGCTGTACATTATAGTGGGGGACAGTACATGAGACAATACAGTAACAAAACAGAACACGAGGGATTCAAGGGCCCTGCTCTTTCGAGCTTACAATCTAGGAGGGAGGGGATAGTGGTACAGGAGGAAGTGGCTGTGGGGGATGGAGTGGTGGGAGAAGAGGATGAGATCGGCTGTTAGGTGAGGGCGGGGTAGGCTTCCCTGAAGAGATGGGTTTTCAGGGTGCGCCTAAAGGTGAGGAGGGTAGGTGACAGTCTGATGGATTGGGGTAGTGAGTTCCTGAGGATGGGGGAAGTCCTGGAGAAGTCCTGCAGTCGGGCGTGGGAGGTGGAGACCAGGGAGCTAGAAAGTAGGAGGTCTTGTGAGGAGCGAAGATTACGGGTAGGGTGGTATTTGGGTATCAGGTTAGTGAAGTAGTTTGGGGCAGCATTATGAATGGCTTTGTACGTCAATGTTAGTAGTTTGAATTTAATGCGTTGGGCAATCGGGAGCCAGTGGAGGGAATGACAGAGGGGGGTGGCAGAAGCAGAGCGGTTGGTGAGGTGGATGAGTCTGGACGCTGAGTTCAGGATGGACTGAAGAGGGGATAGTCTGCGATGAGGTAGGCCGGTAAGAAGGGAAATTGAATGTATAAATTGAATGGCACTTTGTATCCTGTAACATTTAGCAAAGTAGCTAAACTGTCAATCAAAATGTTAGCCTGTGTACAATACACACAGTCTGTGATAATTGTTGAACTGCCTTCAACCAACAGCCAACCTAAAATAAATGCCAGAAATCTGGCACAGCCATCAATCACATTCAAAACTGCCTTCCAAGTTTAAATGTGGTTGGTGAGGCAGGAAGTGCACAACGCTCAATCTAAGAAGTACAGTCCTACTGCCCTCCTAATGAGAATGCAAGGAGGTTATACATTTATTACATAATTATTATGAAGACACACTGAGCAAACTTTCGAATATTAGCAAAGTTATTATATGAATTCTTTAAAGAACTTTTATATATATTATGAATTTGCATTGGAAGCCTTAGCTATAATCTTTGCTTTAGATCATGTGATCAAGTAAGCATTAAGGGTTCGGAGTTTGGCTAGGATCAGCAGTCCCCTTCTCTGTTTGTATTATTGGTAACCATTAATGGCTTGGAGTGTGGCTAGGATCAGTAGACTCCTTTTCTATTTGTATTAGGCACCTTATACCATCTAAATCCTCTCAATACAGCAAGTATATTGTTATTTGGGATGGGTTACTAAGGAGTGTAAAAGGTCAAGGCCTTCGCTTGTCACATACTATAATCTTCAGGGGAAGCAAGGCTTTCAATGTAATATTAACTTTAAAATGTGTTCCACCTACTCCATCCAATATTGCATTTAATTGTATAAGAGCTTAACTTTTTATTTAGATCTGCAAACAAAACGTATTATTTACCTTACAATAACATGATTAACAGATTTTCCTACTTAAGAAGATCCATATACTGTATGTACATACATATAGCTTTCAAATGTAAAATGCCTTGGCAAAAAAAAAAACATTTTTTTCCAAACATTTACTTTGAATGGGTTCTTATTAATCCAGGTCATGGTACAGATATTAGTTATTAGTAACATGCAACTAGACTAGTTATACAATGTTATACAACTACTTTGGTTCTAATGAGTATCGGGAACCTACCCCAGCATTGAAAGTTGTGAACAACTTATAGAACAAGTCAAGCTAACTATTACTATCTACTGCTAGATTTAAATATATGCAGTTTTAATCAAAATTATAATGTGAAGGCAAGAATTAAAAATATCATATAAATGCTATCATCATGAGGGGGCTTTTCATACCATAAGTGGCTTAACATAGTCTTCAGAAGTGCTCACATGTGATATTCAAGTTACAGCTTTCACAAAGCTGGTGCATTGATATCACCATGCAAGCACCCTTGTGTAAAAATGTCCGATAAATGTCTGGATAGAACAAAGATGGCAAATCCATGTGTAGAACCTTCCTAGTTTAGCTAGGGGGATCTAGAGTCCTGATTGTCAGTGAGGAAGGCTGAGTAGCAGTAGCCTGGGTGTAATAGCCAGAAGGTCAAATTGGGGTCAGGAGCTGAGTTGCTCTGCAGGCTGGCCCCTCTGGAATTTCCCCCTGCTCTAGGGCTTGGAGGAAGGCCCTAGAAGCAGTGGGTGGATCTGAGGAGTGGCTGGCTTGGACTATTAAGGGGTCCTGGCCAGTCCCCAGCAGAAAGCTTTGAAAGGAGCCGGACACTCTTTAAAGTGTTGTAGCCTGGTCAGCTGCAGGAGAGTTTGGGTGGAAGATAGTGAGGAAGATGTGAGGCTGAAGGCAGGAGGCTTCAAGGAGGCCCAATGATATTGGGCCTACTTGCAGGCCTGCAGCTGGAAAGGGAGAAACTCATAGACTCACTGGCCCCAAGAGCAAGGACCACCTGTATGGCAGGGAAGGAGTGGCCCAGCTGGTATGACCTGGAAGCAGCCACCAACCCACCAGTGGTACAGGAGAGAATCTGAGTTATTACCCCTGCAGCCCCTGGGCAGTTGGGGGAAGGAGTTCTCTGGTGGGAAACCAGATATGCCACCTACCAGTGACTGTTCATCTCTTAAAGTGACAGGAACCGGATCCCCTGTTCAGAGATGCCTCTAGATTGCTAGGTGAAGAGGAAAAGTTCATCTAGGGTCTGGGGTGGTACATTGGGAGAGACTGGCTAGCTCTTCATCAAAGAATGTGCTGCAAAGAAGGCTTGTAAATAGTTCCATTAAGTTGTCCTCAATTTATTGATTTCCTTGGGCATCCTGTACACCCCTAAACCCTATCCCAGTGCAATTTCCCTAAATAAAACAACAAAACCAGATCTCAAGGACTGATTTCAGACTTTGGACGCAAGTCTTGGTGAAGATGTGAGATGCTAGGCTGCGCAGGACTATAGCAGAACCCAAATCTAGCGACTCCTAAGGGCTCGTTCACACTAGGCTGTTTTGCCAACGCTTGCCAAACGCCCCTATAGCGTTTGGCAAGCGTTGGTCCGGCGTTTGCGGAGCGTTTTTTAACGCTCGCTCCGCAAATGCCGCATGCGCGGTTTAGCGGCGGTTGCTAGGCGTTTGCCGAGCGTTAATAACGCCCCACAAACGCCTATAACGCAGTTTGAGTGGTGTTACCGCTCCGCAAACGCCCCGCAACCGTGTCGCAACCGCACCGCAAACGCCGGCCGGGCGTTTGCGGAGCGGCACCATAGACGAGAATAGGAGGCTTCAAAGCCTCCTGACTCGTCCAGAGGCGTCCGTTTTGCCGCGACGCGCGACGCAAACGCTCCCGTTAGAACAGCACCATGCTGTAATGTGCAGAATTGGCAGAGGCGTTTGGGAAGAGGTAAAAACGCTTCCCAAACGCCTCTCTGCCGCCTGCACACAAGGCTAGTGTGAACGTAGCCTAAGGGGGTAGTGCTACACAAGTACAAGAATGTCAGACTGTAACTAGCTGCATTAGGTAACAATTATATGATGTTAGTCAAAACATCTTCCTGACAGGCCGCAAATATTTGAATATGGAAATGTCAGCAATGGTAATGTCCCTGTTTTCTCATGACCTGTGAACTTGAATTTTTGTTTTAAGATTTTTATACATTTTTATGTCAATGATTTTATATAATTTTGTTTTTTTCAAAACAAAATTTATGTGCATTCAGGGTGCATCCATGACCCAGGGTTCAAAGAGCACCATGGGTATTCTAAATAGAAAGCACATTATCATAAGAGATCTGGAGAAGATAGGGGGGCACGAGTCATTCCCTGGGCTCATTCAATACACTGTCTAAATTTTAACTTCAACTATTGAGCTTTATAAACAACAGAGTTTTATTTGTAAATAAAGCAGATAAGATTAGCCCAAAATAACATTTGAAAGGGAGCCTAAAGCTCTAACTGCTGGCTGAAATTAAAATACATAATATAATTATACAATATGAATAATTACCTGTCCAAAAGAAGAAAAATATTTCTTGATTTTTTATTGTATTCTGACATTTTACATTCAGCTGCAACATGCTCCTCTGGAACCCAAGGTAAAGATGCCAAGGTGCACAACCCCCCTCACCTTTCCCTTGAGCTGAGATGAGCCATTCTGCAAGGCCAGCACTGGTTCCTGGCTTCAGAAGTGAAGAACACTATACACTGACCCAAAAATTGCCACATTTTTAATGGAAGATCGAATGTGATGGTGGGAGGGGGGCTGGAATGTTTCCTCATGGTAAACTTGTTTGATCTAGTAATAATGAGCATTGTGTTACACAGCCATGTTTTCATATCTAACCTTGCAAGAAAATATGAGGCCTGCTCTACTGACAGCCCCCACACCAAAAATACAAAATAAAAACTGCTTACAGCACTTACTTCCTGGAGTTGCTCATGATGTCACTGTGCCTCGTTGCTGCCAGCACATTGCATGGGATTCTGATCTCCCAGGTTTCCTTGGAAAGAGGGTGGCTGTCTCTTTTTCCTTTGTATTGGCCAGGCCCTGCATTGAAATGTATCTATAGGCAAAACATTTTTTTTTTGTTTTGGTTAAAGTAGGGAAAGGTTAAACCCCCTCTCAGTTTATTTTTTGTTGTCCTGATGCAGAGATTTCC